GAGACCAGCCTGGCCAACATGGTGAAACCCTGTCTCTATTAAAAAATACAAAAATTAGCCGGGCATGGTGGCAGGTGCCTGTAATCCCAGCTACTCAGGAGGCTGAGGCAGGAGACTCGCTTGAGCCCGGGAAACGGTGGTTGCAGTGAGCCAAGATCACACCATTACACTCCAGCCTGGGTGACAGAGCAAGACTCTGTCTCAAAAACGAAAAAAAAGAAAAGAAAATGAAAAGACAAAAACTAGGAAAAAAAATTTGCAAAATACATATAATGGACTTGTATCCAGAATAAAGAACTCATACAATTAGCTTTTAAAAAACACTTCAATAATAATGAACAAAAAATCTGAACAGACATTTCCACTAATAAGGTATGCAGATAAAAAAGCACATGAAAAAATGCTGACAGCTTTAATCACTAGGGAAATGCAAATTAAAACCACAATGAGTCCGGGCACAGTGGCTCACGCCTGTATTCCCAACACTTTGGGAGGCTGAGGCGGGCAGATCACAAGGTCAAGAGATCAAGACCATCCTGGCCAACGTGGTGAAACCCTCATCCCTACTAAAAACACAAAAGTCAGATGGGCGTGGTGGTGCGTGCCTGTAGTCCCAGCTGCTTGGGAGGCTGAGGCAGAAGGATCACTTGAACCCAGGAGGCAGAGGTTGCAGTGAGCCAAGATCACACCACAGAACTCCAGCCTGGGCAACAGAGAGAGACTGTCTCAAAAAACAAACAAAAAAACACAATGAGAGGCCAGGTACGGTAGCTCACGCCTGTAATCCCAGCACACTTTGGGAGGCCAAGGCAGATGGGTCGCCTGAAGGTCAGGAGTTTGAGACCAACCTGGCCAACATGGTGAAACCTCATCTCTATTAAAAATACAAAAAATCAGCTCAGCGTGGTGGCAGGTGCCTATAATCCCAGATACTTGGGAGGCTGAGGCAGGAGAACTGCTTGAACCCAGGAGGCGGAGGTTGCAGTGAGCCAAGATCATGGCATTGCACTCTACTCCAGCCTGGGCAACAAGAGCAAAACTGAAACTTTGTCCAAAAAAAAAAAGCCCACGATGAGAAACCACTACATATCTATTATTCAAAAAACTGACAATATAAGCCACGATAAGACTGAGGAACAAGTCCCACACATAATGGTGGGAATGCAAAATGGTAAAGTCACTTTAAACAATAGGTTGGCATTTTCTTATAAAGATAAGCATATACTTAACTATACTTTCCAGCAATCACAATACTATTTATCCAACAGAAATATATATATATATATCCCTATAAAGATCTTCATGCTTTACTCATACTCTCCAAAACCATAAACAATCTGAATGTCCACCAACATGTGAATGGATGAACTGTGGTATATCCACACCATGGAATACTAGTCAGTAATATGAAAGAACAAACTACTGCTACATGCAACATAGGTGAATCTCAAAAGCACTATACTAAGTGAAAAATCAGAAACAAAAGGCTACAACTTTTAAAATTTTATGATAGTCTGGAAAATGCAAAACTATAGAACTATAGGGATAAAAAGTAGACTAGTGGCCAGGCGTGGTGGCTCACATCTATAACTCCAACACTTTGGGAAGCCAAGGCAGGTGGATCACCTGAGGTCAGAAGTTCAAGACCAGCCTGGCCAACATGGGGAAACCCTGTCTCTACTAAAAATACAAAAATTAGCTGGGTATGGTGGCACACTCCAGTTATCTCAGCTACTTGGGAGGCTGAGGCAGGAAAATCACTTGAACCCAAGATTGTGCCACTGCATTCCATACTGGGCAACAGAATAGGACTCTGTCTCAAAAAAAAAAAAACAGATTAGTGATTGTGGTTACCAAGGGCTGTGTGTAGGGAAAGAAACTGGTTAGAAAAAAAAAAAAGGGCCGGGCGCGGTTGCTCAAGTCTGTAATCCCAGCACTTTGGGAGGCCAAGACAGGCGGATCACGAGGTCAGGAGATCGAGACCATCTTGGCTAACACGGTGAAACCCGGTCTCTACTAAAAAATACAAAAAACTAGCCGGGCGAGGTGGC